GCCTACCAGGACCTATGTGACTCAGTCTTCTGGTTAGTGTTTTCATGCCAGTTCTTAGCTTGACAACCTTTGGCTTTTTTCCACTCGATATCTGCTCCGGCGAACATCGCTCTCCGTGATAACCTATCTGGTGACATGCGTAACACATCCCAGCCAACGTAATCTATGGAGGTCGACCACCTGCCCCAGTGGGCGACCGCGGGTACTCTGCGCCTAACCTCAGCATCGTTCATCCGGCTACCCCACCAGATTCGTGCAATGCTGCGTAGACAGCGGTGTTCAAGCACTGACCGTTTATCTTTATTCTGTTTTCTTAATTGCCAAGTTTCTGCACCGTATAGTAGGACCGGCCGAACTGTGGCGGCATACACTCGACCGTTCACAGACAGCCGGATGTCGCGGCGACGCCACAGATGTCTCAAGTTGGCAAATGCCAATGGAGCCTTCTTTATGCGAGCAGATACTTCATCCGTGATGCGTCCACCGGGTGGGATGTAGCTGCCCAAATAACAAAACTTACGCGCTTGCTCTATTACTTTCCCGGTTAGAGTGGGGCTAGGTGCTGGACCAACCCAGTCTTGTAGTAACATGTTACACTTTGAAGGTGCAAAACGCATATCGAATATGGCTGCGCTGGCATTCAAGTTATCCAGAAATGCTTGCAACTTACCTGGGGAGTGCGTTTGAACCAAAATGTTTCAGATAGCAAGCGTTGAATAAATACACATAAGGTTAGCCGATACCGCTGATTTTTTCTTCGATTAACCGGGGCATTTTTGAATCAACAATGATCTTTGTCCGGTCGTAATCTTATGCTCGGTCAAGTCAGGTAACTGTTCCTTTCTTTAGGAAAAAGAAAAGCGTTCCATGATTGGCATATGGGCGGAATACTGCCAGGTTGCTCAGGTAAAGGCAGTTGAATTCTATGCAGGAGTCTTTGGCTATCCAAAGCCTAACCCGCAAGGTAGCGGTGCGATGTGCGAAAACCGCAATGCATTGAGGGCCGGTGTCCCGTTCATGGGATCGTACGCCTTTTGGACGGGGTCAAATGTCCAAGGTGCTCAATCGAGCCGGTGACCACTGCCAGAACCAGGAAGTTGTGTGTGGTTCGCACGCCTCCACTTGTTTGGTTTTGAATCAGGGATTTTGGCCAACTTCCCTAGGTGAGCTATCAGTGGTCCACCAACCCGGATGTCGGCTTTTCGTCCTCTCACTTTGGTGGGAAAACACCTCCGCCAGGCAGTGTTAAGTAGGGCTTTATCAGCAGAGGCTATTTGAGACGCTTGGTCGTATGGGAGTATTTCGCGAGGTGAAGAGAAGGGTGACTAGCCTCAACCCACCCGACCATGTGTAGTATGCTAGTGCATATGCCACGTGAGGAAGGCTGCACTGATCTACTATTATACATTGGTTTCCTTGTCCCTGCCTGACAGAGGAAAATGCATAACCCGTGAAAACCCTAAACTAGATGTATTAACTGTGCTCACTAGTAGCTCCGCTGTCGTCCGGTTCAATAACACGCCTAACCTAGTGGGGTGGTCTTACGTGGTTTGCCGCGGGGCTTAGGTTACCGGCTTCGATGACTGAACACCAGGTCGACGTGAGTGTGGGGTTCCGCCTCTTTCTGCTGTTCATCACACAAAAAGTGTGTAATGAAAACAAAAGCTATAAAATATCCGGCATTCTGGGTGGATGACCATTGGAATTTCAAAAACCTTGTGTCCAAGAACGCATGCTTGATTTCAAAAAATACCGTTTAAAACCAAGTTGTTTCCCAGACATTTATAGGACCCCCACTGTATGGTACGGGAGACACCAGAGCGCTTGTGGCTTGCAATACAAACCTAAAAGAGTTGTGAGGGTCAGCTGACCCTCACAACTCTTTTAGGTTTGTATTGCAAGCCACAAGCGCTCTGGTGNGCTTAGTTCAAACATCTAGCACTGATAAACAGCTGCACACAAGAGAATCCCGGGAAAATGGCAGCTAATAAAGGGTTTGTCCTCATTCGCTCAACATCGTGCCCTTCAATTTATCAAGGAACTCTCCTTTGCAAAATGTACTCGAAGAACAGCTGTTACAACAGATTGATAAGCTGCAACTCACGGCTCGCCTGTTGGCCTTTCGAGCTTGCAAATCCGAAGAGGCGAACCGGAAGTCGGAAGCCAATTTGAAGAAAGTGCAGCAAACGAAGAACCAGTTAAAACAACAATCCACCGAATTGGTGGACGATATGGAACACGTGATCTTGTCCATTGTCACCTCATTGAAAGCATTTCAAGCGGAAGCGCGAGCCACTTTATTCAGTTTGCAAACACAACTTCAAAACTCTGAGAAACAATTGCAAGATTCCAATGAAACCATTAAACAGTTAACCGAGAAAGTGGAACTCTTGGAATCCACGGTGGCTGAAAATAAGCGCTTGTTTGAAGTCAACTTACAAGCCATTCATATAACCTATGTGAATATACTGGAAAATGTATTTGAGAAGCTTCAAGAATACATGCTCAAAGATCTGTCCGCGCTGGAGCAAAAGAATGAGGATTTGCACAATCGGTACACGACTGCATTCAAGCAACTCGGTCTTCAGTGCACATTTCATGATATTTGATTTTGGACGATCCCGTCCACCAAAGCCGCTAGTCAGTGTTGACAGCACCGCGTATACCTGTTAAGGTATTCTGCCAAGTAACGTACACATTTATCTTCAGTGAATGAGTCCTTTAGAAGCTTGTGAATGGTGTTTCAGCAGGAAACAGTGCAAGCCTTTAAGAGCTGTTTTCCAAAAATTGTCCTATATCAAGAACTCTATTATTGTAACAACAGTCTGCCCGAAGAGCATAATACCTACAATCCTTGTGTTGATCGTCATACTTGATGAATGTGTTATGGTAAATAACATCATTATAGACCACGCGTCTTGTTGAGATTTCATTACGTTTCAGGTATACCCAAATAGAAGTACAACTCCGTTTTCGGAAATTTATCGATCATGCTTTGCGGACTAGGAGTTCTCGATCAATCATTTAATTGCTCTGATCCTGGATCAATCATACCATGTCCGTCAGTGGACCAGCAAGGCCGGATCGATTCCCAACTTGGGTTCATTGTAAACTGCTTCGTGTATCACGTGACCGGTGATTGTTTTACTGAGGGTTCTAAACTACCACTTTATCTGTCACGTGTACTCGTCTTGTAAGGGTGCCACTCGCATGTTTGCACATCTGCAGATTTTAAGCTTGTCTCTGTACATTGGATCGCATCAAAGCGAACTTCGTCCACATTCGTTACTATCCACAAGATTGAGCTGGGCACCTACTTCAAGGCCGAAAATATGAAGACATTGATCTGCTAGTCCCCTCTATCCGGAATGTGCATACACCTATCAGTAGTCTTTTTTAAGGTTCTGTCTTACTAATAGAACAACGCTCTGTTATCTACCCTGTGAAGGATTGCCGTCCCACAAGGGATACTGATCAACTTTTGGCATATACGTAATACACGAAGTTCAGCTTGTGCCAAACAACACTCGTTTAGGTTGGCGTTCTTTTTTGGTCATGCAACTGGCTGATCCATGCTGAAGAGCTGAAAGCAATATCAAGATTAGGATTCGAATGCAGTTGAGCAGGCTGTACACTCCAATTCTGTGGAGATCCATGGGCTCCGATGTTTTCAACAGTCGGTCAGATCATCCAGCGTCTATCTGGGTCATCCGCAGATTTAGTTTAAACAGCCTTTTATCTTCATGAGGCTGTTTTGATTGTTGTCCATTAACTGCCCACTTTTATGTGGAAATAGAGAACGCGTTAGGAGCATTCCCGTCGTAAACATACCGAACTTTGTCGTGCACAATTTGAATTATGGCAAAAGGGAAACAACCCATAGTCAAATAGCATACCTTAACAGGGAGAGTCGGAAAACATCCATGCATGCTCCAGCTTATTCATTGTGTTTAAAAGATGTAAGGTTGCAAGTTTAGGATGACAGTGGGGAAGTGTTCCACAACTTGTCAGTTCGGCTCAAAAAAGAAGATTGTCACGACATCTGGTAAGGTTGGCTAGATGCATGTCTACAAGATGGGCGGGAAGAAAGTAACCGGAACGAGTACTGTCAAGGCAAGTTCCAAAAAATAAAGTGGTAACAGTAGAGAAGGGACAGTGAACCAGCTGTTCGACGATAGGTTAGTGACTCTAGATTGGAGATTTCCGGTTCAACAAAGATAAGCTATGCACGTTTGTATTCTGATTTGGATTTCTCCTTCATGACTGCCCAGTTAGATAAATGAACAAAACAAAGAATGAATGTTGCAAGCAGAGATGAAGAGAAGATGGGGAATTCATGTGGACTAGGGTTACAAGAATAATAAGTAGATGCACTAGCCACACCCAACCATATCACTCAGTGTTTCTAACCATCGGTGCCCATCATCTCGGGGTTCCCATCCAGGGAGCCTAATGGGATCTATGTGACCTAGTCGACTGGTTAGAGTTCCTATACCCTCATGTCAGGTCTTCGTTTGGTCACCCTGGACCTTTTTCCAACTGCTTCTTGCCTCGGTAAACATCGCGCACTGTGTCAACACATGTCCCAATCACCGTAATCTACGGAAGGTCGACCACTTGCTCCAGTGGACGATTGCAATTACCTAAAAATCTGCGCCTGATCTCAGAATTTCTTGTCCGCTTGCCGCACAAGACTCTTGCAATACAAATTAGACCGTGCTGTTCAAACACTAACCGTCTATCCTTGTCCTGTTCCCGTAATGTCCAAGACTGCAACGTAGGACAGGACTGGCTTAACTGCTGCAGCATATACTCGACCCTTCACAGACAGCTGGATATCGCTACGGCACTACAGATGTTTCAAGTTGGAAAATCTCAATCTAGCCTTCGGTATGAGTGCCAACTCTTCATCTGTGATGCGTCCGCTAGATCAAATATAGCTATCCAAATAGCAAACTTTATCTACTTCCCCAGGTGGATTGAGGTTGGTGGCTGGGCCAACCTAAACTTGTAGCAGCATTTTATACTTTGAAAGTGCAAAACGCATACCGAACGTGGGTACGCCAGCGGTCAAACTATCCAGAAGAGTATACAACTTACCTGGATCTTAACGGTAAATGTCGTCGGCACCCTCTAACGGCAGCAGTTCGCCACCTGAACGGGCAAATCGATGCCGTTATCCTGACACGAGGAAAGGGGCGTTTCCAAAATCGGATATTATACAAAGTTGAATAGAAAAGGCAAGAGATAGAGAGGGCCACCCTGACACGAGCACTACTTTCTGTGGTCAACTCGGGCGAAGAAGTTCCGTAAGCTCGAACAACAAATAAGCAGTGGCGAACAAACAGCGGTGGCACTACCAGTGTGGTGATTTTCAGGTTAGTCACCTGGATCCTAGTTAAAAACCACATAAGCCCAATGACGGTGTCGTGACAAAGGTTGATGTAACTGGCCTTTTAAAACGAAAGTCATTGATCCCCTCACTTTCGAGGTGAGGGCTTACTTCCTACTGCCTTGCAGTTCGCACTTAGTTGTGCACAGGCTAGAGGTGCGCCCTCAAAATAAAAGGCGCTGTTGACGTCTCTCGTACCAAACTCCCAAGTAACTTCATGATCATGATGATGTCTAGAGCCGAGTTATCCTTTCCAAGGAGCCATCCGCATTAAAATAAAGTAAGTATGTATTAAACTCGAACTCGGCTTCAGCCACTAGTATAAATAGACAGTAAAATTGAAATTAACTCCGGTGCACCCTTTAAAGAGAGGCAGCGTCAGGTTTTAGAACAGTCGACTGAGTCCGTAGCCGCTTTCAGGTTGGGGAAGATAGAAATGGTAACTCTACGAAAGGAATATCTGTCTGTTCTAAAATTTGGCGAAGGATGAAAATCTGATCCATAAAACTTCGAGCATGTATAAAACCAGCCTAATTCTCACGCGTGCACTGTTTGCATGCGGCCGACAATCAACGGATCATGATGCCAGCGAGAAGCATCATCGATCAACCGAATATACTTTCAGTGAATGGAAAGAAAAAAGATCAAGCCTCACCTCATTCGCGACTGCAGTATTCAAGAGCCAAGCGGGTTTGAGCGTTGTAGAACACAAGAAGATGAGCCGAGATGAAAAAACATCTGGCGCGGAATCAAAAATCAACCTTGCAGTACGAGAAGCGAGCTGAGATAGAAAATGGGAACATCATGAAGAAGAAGTTATAGGCAGTCGAAGAAGAGAAACAGAGTTTGTGGAACGCGGTTGGGTAGAATCAAGAGATATATAGGGAGCGAACGAATGATGTTTTGGCGAAATTGAAGGGAGGTGGTAGAATCATTGAATGCAATGTGACTGTCATTTCCCCAGGAGGAGCGGTGTATGTATGAGATCATAAACCAGTGGCACTTAAACTGCACTACGGCCAGGATCGATGTCGGTTTCAGCATGATGAATATGCGCTAGCATATGCAGCAGGATGAAAGATGGCGTCATGAGCAAAATCATGGATTGATTTACCAGTTTAGGAAATATGCACTAAGCGACAAAATATTGCAACGCCCCCTCTCCCTTAGATTTTTGTATTATCTCCATTCGCTTAAGCACGATCATCACCAATTTTGAGAATNTACGAAATTACACCAAAATATCTTTAAATTTTACGAAAATCTATCGGTAAACTGGAATTTTCACCTAGATATAAGCATTGAACTCTACTCGGTTTTAAAACGAGTTCGATAGAAATCCCGACTTTGTACTTGGCAACCGTGGTGAGTCAGTGGTTGACATATTGATGTAACCTACCTGCGGTCGTGCTCACGTCATTCTCAATAACCTTGAAAGAACAATGACATCCAAATTAGTCACTGCAATCACGGTGCGGTGGAAGAGGCTTACACTGATATCAAGAAATCCAAATATGATATCTTTCATAAGATCCATGTCAGCACAGCCGTGCGGTGTCCCCATTACACTGTGGTACAATAATTGACGCGGAACCAGTTAAAAATCAGTCATATAAGGTTTGGACACCAGATAAAGCTCTAGGTAAGATCTGATCGCTACATATAGCCTCAAACTCCGTGAGTCGTGCATATATCGGAGAGGAAAACGGTGCTTGAGTTCCTGAGAGAACACTTGGAACAGTCCCCGGAAAAAATGCAAAGGTGCATATACTTAACAACTTTATAAACAGAAAGAAATTCGTTGCGGACTCAAACTCCGTTAAATTATTATAACGAATGAAATTTTAGAGCAATTATTTCCCGAAATAAACTGGAGTAAAGGACACAACACTGCAAGCAAGCACGATTTAATTCCGGAATCACTTCACTGCATCTCAGCTGGTGCTTACCGCAGAAACAAAATAGTTTATATATCACGGCATGACAATTCAATATGGCATCAGTTCATTCTTCCGCTTACGTGGTCACCACGACAATGCCAGACTGATGTAGAACTCCCTTTGCTGACAAACCTGGGGCTTTCGGCGCTTGATTGTTATGGTCTCAGAAGCCGGTCATTCGAGGTAATGTAAACAATCCGAAAAGTATCCCCACAATCAGCTTGGTGGCCAGTTTGCAGCAGATGGCGGGCAATTGATAATGCAGGTGATTTATGTG